AGGCAGGAGAATTGCCTGAACCCAGGAGACGGAGGTTGCGGTGAGCCAAGATCGCGCCATTGCACTCCAGCCTGGGTAACAAGAGTGAAACTCTGTCTCAAAAAAAAAGAAAAAAAAAAAAAAATAGAAAAATTGCCAAGGCGGGTGGATCACGAGGTCAAGAGATCAAGACCATCCTGGTCAACATGGTGAAACCCCGTCTCTACTAAAAATACAAAACATTAGCTGGGCATGGTGGTGCGTGCCTGTAATCCCAGCTACTTGGAGGCTGAGGCAGGAGAATCCCTTGAACCTGGGAGGTAGAGGTTGCAGTGAGCGAAGATCACGCCATTGCACTCCAGCCTGGGCTACAAATCGAGATTCTGTCGCAAAAAAAAAAAAAAAAAAAAATTAGCTGGGCAGTAGTGGCACACACCTGTTGTCTCAGCTACTCAGGGGGCTGAGGCAGGAGAAATGCTTGAGCCTGGCATTTCTGCACTACTGCACTCCAGCATGGGTGACAGAGTGAGACCCAGTCTCTCTCTCTCTCTCTCTCTCACACACACATATATCTTTCCAGGATATATATATTTTGGTCATTAAAGCCACCCTCACCTTCACTTGGATTACTGATATGGCCAATTCGTTCGGCTCCTGCTTCTACCCTAGGCCTCTTATTCTCAATATGTTGGGCAATCTTTTTAAAACATGTCAACATTAAAAGCCATAAAAACCCACTACGGTCTACCAGTCTACAGATCTGTCCCACACACTCCTCTGCCTCTTTGACATTCATCCTATACTCCCGCTCTTGACCATTCTATTTCTTCCTTTTTTTTTTAAGACGGAGTCTCACTCTGTCGCCCAGGCTGGAGTGCACTGATGGGATCTCGGCTCACTGCAACCTCCACCTCCTGTGTTCAAGTGATTCTCCTGCCTCAGTCTCCCAAGTAGCTGGGACTACAGACATGTGCCACCACACCCAGCTAATTTTTGTATTTTTAGTAGAGATGGGGTTTTACCGTTAGCCAGGATGGTCTCCATCTCCTGACCTCGTGATCCACCCACCTCAGCCTCGCAAAATGCTGAGATTACAGGCGTGAGCCGCTGTGCCTGGCCTTCTATTTCTTTTTTTTTGAAACAGAGTCTCCCTCTGTCACCCAGGGTGGAGTACAGTGACGCAATCCAGGCTTGCTGCAGCCTTGACTCATTTTCCAGGCTCAAACAATTCTCTGACATCAGCCTCCCAAGTAGTTGGGACCACAGGTGCATGCCACCATGCCTGGCTAATTTTTATATTTTTTGTAGGGATGAGGTTTTATCATGTTGCCCAGGTTGTAGTGCAGTGGTGCAGTCATACCTCACCGTAACCTTAAACTCCCAGGCGCAAGGAGTCCTTCTGACTCAGCATTGCACATAGTTGGAACTACAGGCACACACCACGCCCAGGTAATTTTAATGTTTTGAAGAGACCGGTCTCACTATGTTGCACAGGTTGATCTGGAACTCCTGACCTCAAGCAATCTTCTCACCGCTGCCTCCCAAAGTGCTGGGATCACAGGCATGAGCCACCACACCCAGCTATGACCATTCTACTTTAACCACACTGATTTTCTTCTATTTCATATGTGCCAGTCATGCTCCTCCTTGAAGGCCTTTTTATGATTCCCTCTGCAATCTCTTCCCTGTATCCACGATTTGCTCCCTTAGCTCCTGCAAATCTTCACTCATAAATATCTCCTTGGTGGAGTACCAAGTCACACACCTGTAATCCTAGTACTTTGGGGAGCTGAAGCAGGAAGATCACTTGAGTCAAGGAGTTAGAGCCTGAAGCGAACTAGAATTACACCACTGCATTTCAGTCTGGGTGACAGCGAGACCCTTTCTCTAAAAATGTACAAATAAGGCCAGGGGTGGTGGCTCACACCTGTAATCTGAACGTTTTGGGAGGCCAAGGAGGGTGGATTACGAGGTCAGGAGATTGAGACCATCCTGGCTAACACAGTGAAACCGTCTCTACTAAAAATACAAAAATTAGCTGGGCATAGTCGTGTGCGCCTGTAATCCCAGCTACTCTGGAGGCTGAGGCAGGAGAACCACTTGATCCCAGGAGGTGAAGGCTGCAGTGAGCTGAGATCCCATCAGTGCACTCCAGTCTGGACAACAGAGTGAGCCTCCGTTTCAAAAATATATTATGTACAAAAAAAGCAAAAACCATCTCCTTCTTGAGGCCTACCCTAACCACCTCATTTAAAATTACAAGACTTGCTTCATCTCTATTGTCCTTCACTCTATTTTTACCATAGCACTTGCCACTTCTATTAATTTCCTTATTGTCTGTCTCCCTTCTCCACCAAGGTAAGCTCCATGAGAACAGGGATATTTGCGGTTTTTATTCAATGATGTACCTAAGCACCAGGAACAGGCTCTGGTACATTGTTTGATGCTCAAAAATTGTTAAACAAGTTTAAATCCTGACTTTTCAGAGTCTTTTTGACATGGTATCTAACTAGGTCACTTATACCATAATGCCAAAATGATACATCTACAGGTTTTTTTTTTTTTTTTTTTTTTTTGAGACGGAGTTTCACTCATGTTACCCAGGCTGGAGTGCAATGGCGCGATCTTGGCTCACCGCAACCTCCGCCTCCTGGGTTCAGGCAATTCTCCTGCCTCAGCCTCCTGAGTAGCTGGGATTACAGGCATGCACCACCATGCCCAGCTAATTTTTTGTATTTTTAGTAGAGACGGGGTTTCACCATGTTGACCAGAATGGTCTCGATCTCTTGACCTTATGATCCACCCGCCTCAGCCTCCCAAAGTGCTGGGATTACAGGCTTGAGCCACCGCGCCCGGCCTCATCTACAGGTTTTATATAATCTGCATAGCTGTCAGGATAGAATTTTGCCCTAG